TACAAGTGTATGAAAACTTTGGTTCATGACTGTAGATATTCAAATAAAACAGCAATGATATGAACCTGTACTGTGTAAAACAGAATGCACACATGCATAAACTATATCTTAAAGCTTTTCTGCCGGCTGTGTACTTTACAGTGAAGGGACAGATGTCTGTGCATCGATTGCTTACAGTGAACGTCGGCGCTTTCTCTTTGTGGCTCCGTCGAAACATGCCAGTCAGGACCGACTGATTACTCTACAACAAACAAAGTAGGTGTGAATAAAGAGGAAGACATTCTAGTTCGTAAATGAGGTCAGGTAACAGCTGCAGCTCCAGTACCTGTTTGAAGTCGGCTTCATCGCTGGGAACTTCGGCAGCTTCTGGTTGGTCAGTTTCTCTGGAGCTCTGAGGAGGAAGAGGAAGGCACTGACTCGACGGATTATGAAAACGAGCAGGGAGGAACGTGGCATTTCATCGTGTGTCTACCTGCGTGTCCTCAGTCTGGACCCTCCTGCGCTGGCTGTATCTGGTTGCGTTGTTCAGTTCCTGCACAAAAGCAGACAAAAAAGGGAACAATAACAAAAGGTAGAAAGAACAGGTTCGAACCCCTGAGGAGTTCTGTGTTCACACTCAACCACAAACTCAGGAGGATGCAGACTCATGTAAAACAAACACTTTAAAACCTGAGAACGTTTCAAAGAAACGTTTGGGTGTGAAGTACCTTTTCTGTTGGTCTGGGTGGAACCACGGGAGTTTCAGGCAGTTTCTCTTTTGGTTCTCGTTGCTTCACGTTCTCATTTGTCTGATACAAAAAATAATAACAACAAAGGTGATCGCTTCTTTTTTACTTCTTTATTTTTTAGCAGGGTGATGGTTCAAAGTTACATCTAAATACAATAAGATTTTTTTTTAGTATCGTGACTCTGCAAGCTTCTAATAAAGTTAAAAAAATAAAGTTAAATTAAAAACAAACAAACAGTAAATACCCCTGTGTTTGCAGCTGCTGAACTCTTTACTCTGTACTGCGTCTGACTCCGTTCCTGCAGAGGAAACACAAATCTGCTTTAAGAAAAATCTCAATTATTCAAATAAAACTTTTTTTTATGGTTTTGTCTCTTATTTCTTGAGTATATCTTGTCAAACAAAATATGAAACGGAAACCAAAATGTTGAGAGAAACATGCAGGTGAGAAGCATTTTTCTTTTGGTATCAACGCAGTTTAGTAGGTTTTTATGAAAAGAACTATCTTCAAACAGAAGTTTTAATCCGAATTGGATCTTCAACAGGTCAGAAAATGGATAAACTTTACATGTACATATAAATATGCTCTTTCTAACTTGGTACAGTGTGATGAGGGACTTCAAAGGCTTATATCAGCTGTAATATTAAAATAGTCGATACTAACTGAGGCACCATGTTTTGAGTTTAAATATCTTTAAAAGTGGCCATTTTGTGTTTCATTGCTGCAGATTTGACAAGTGAGATTTGCTTACATACAAATGAAGTTTAGTACAAAACCAAAAAAATAAAACGATTCTTCACACTGAACTTACAGCATTTGTCGGTCTTGGGGGAACCACAGGTACTGGGTTCTCTGTGTCATTTCTTTTGACCTGTAAACACAGTTTATACGTCATACAAGTCATAGTTTACACATCATTAATTTTATCAAAAAGCTAATGAAAGCTTTGTGTTGATTACACTACCTCTGCAGGCTTTGGAGGAGGTTTGGGCTGCAAATACAGAAGATAACAAAAGACACAGTGAGTGTGTTTTAGTCAGTTTAGAGCACCGAACCTCCAATACAAGTAAAATCATAGATAAACATTTAAATTATAATAAACAACGAATAAAATTACAGATGCTCAAATATATATTTTTTGTTTCCTTTAAGACATTTATTTTCTATGAGGACAAATAAACCAAAGCCAGGTTGTTGCTGATCTTGTTTTCATGTTCAATAGTAATGAGAGAGTCAGATACTCATGTATGATGTTGGTAACGTACAAGACAGCAGACAGTCACCCACTGAAAGCCCATTCTGACCCCCCAAAAAACTCTAAAAGTGTGTTGTATTACCATCAGCTGTTCTCACTATCAGCTGTATAACTTATTTTAATACTCTGGTTTCTATAGTCGTCCTCAAATGTACTCATACCCCTCTATTAAAGAAAAGGCAAAATTCACAACAGTCACTCAAATAACAAGAAACTGAAAAAAGTAATAATAAATTTAAAGTTTGCTACATTATAATTTAGTGGAATAAGACATTGCTTTTGAATTGTGGTGGAAAACAATAATTAAAAACAAACAAACAAAACTGTCCTGGACAAATCAGAGCACTTTGCTGATGAGCAGTGGGTCAAAATCTAAACACCTGTCAACAGGTGCAGACGTCTGATTGAGAGTTACAGAAAACACTTGAATGCAGTGATTGGCTCAAAGGGTTGTTCAACAAAATATTAGTTTATGGTCCCATCATGCTCGTTTGCTTGTGTGTATGTGTTTTTTATATATATATATTTCTGTGTAAGCACAATTCAAAAGCAATGTCATGATTTTCATTATTTTTTTTATTTATTATTACTTTTTTCAATTTCAACTTATTTCAGTGACAGCTGCTTTTTTTCCTTCTTTAATGGGAGGCTATGAATACATTTGAGGACGACTGTATATTTATTGCTATTTCCTCTGTTTGATTTGTATGAAAACCTAAATGACAGTTAACAGTTCTCCAGACACAGCATTAATGTACAGCACTGTGGAAAGGTTCTATGTGTTTTCTAGATTTCTTAACCATCATGTAATGCCATCAATGAGACGCCTGACTGTCCAAAATTCACTCTGCAGCAGAACTAGAAACAGTTAAAGTCAAAAACGAGTGTCCTGCAGCACTACATATATAATAATATCTTGTAGCATTGTGTGGATGATGTGTTGGAGCTTCTTTATACTGAAACTGAGTTGTGAATTGTTTCAGTGTTTTTTGTGTTTACTGTAAATATTCTCACCGGCTTTGGTTTCTTCTTGACTTGTGGCTTCACCGTACACGCCTCCATCGTGCCTGTCGGAGCGACACACAGAGACAAAGAGTTAAAAAGGACCAGTAACAGGTTTGTGACGGGAGCATCGCCACATGAAGAGGCGAACTGGAGCAGTAGGCAGCAGTAAACTAATTGTGGTCCACCAACACAGAGGCAGTCTACAAGAAGGGCCTGAGCCAGCTCTACTTCCTCAGGAGGCTCCGGGTCCTTCAACGTATGCAACCGCATGCTCCTGATGTTCTATCAGCCTGTGGTGGCGAGTGACATCTTCTTTGCTGTAGTGTGCTGGGGCATCAAGGCGAAGGACGTCAACAGACTGAACAAACTCATTAGGAAAGCTTAGTCTGTTGTTGGCTGCCAGTTGGTCACCCTGGAGGAGGTGGTGGAGCAGAGGACCAACCTGCAGGTCTTCATGGACAACACCTCACACCCCCTCCATCAAACTGTGGACAATCTGAGGAGCAGCTTCAGCAACAGACTGATAGAACCCTGCTGCTCCAAGGAACGTCACAGGAGGTCATTCCTCCAGACAGCAATAAGACTTCTTAATGCTTCTTTATAAGCACATTTGCACATCTCTTATATATTCTTGTAAATTTGTTGAGTTTTTCCACATTATATTTTCTATATTTTTATCTTATTTTATTGTACTTTATTTAACCTTCATTTTATACCCTAATAGTCTGTGTTGTCTTTTTGCTTGTTTACTCCTTTGTTGGATATTGCTGCTGTAACAACAGAATTTCCCTCTGGGATTAATAAAGTCAGTCCAAGTCTAAGAAACTAACTTCAAGTGCTCATCACAGCAAATGCAACAGAAAAAAACACAAGTGTATTTAAAAATTTAAAACCTGACCTTACCAGTTTTACATGTTTAGGAACATATATATATATATATATATGTATTTGTTTTCATTGTTTGTTGAATTTGACAGTTGTTTTATTGTAAAGCATGTTGTAACACTGTAAAGGTGCTGTTTAAATGACGTTAGGGTGCTGCTTCCCAGTTTATACTAATAGAATATATATCCAACTGTCACATTATACAGTTAATGTAGTTTAATTTAATTCAAGTGTAAAATAATACATTCATGCACGACAGTTTTTTCCAAATAAGTAAAGTTCTTTTTAATTAGTTTCTTGTGCAATTTTTGTANGGTAACGTACAAGACAGCAGACAGTCACCCACTGAAAGCCCATTCTGACCCCCCAAAAAACTCTAAAAGTGTGTTGTATTACCATCAGCTGTTCTCACTATCAGCTGTATAACTTATTTTAATACTCTGGTTTCTATAGTCGTCCTCAAATGTACTCATACCCCTCTATTAAAGAAAAGGCAAAATTCACAACAGTCACTCAAATAACAAGAAACTGAAAAAAGTAATAATAAATTTAAAGTTTGCTACATTATAATTTAGTGGAATAAGACATTGCTTTTGAATTGTGGTGGAAAACAATAATTAAAAACAAACAAACAAAACTGTCCTGGACAAATCAGAGCACTTTGCTGATGAGCAGTGGGTCAAAATCTAAACACCTGTCAACAGGTGCAGACGTCTGATTGAGAGTTACAGAAAACACTTGAATGCAGTGATTGGCTCAAAGGGTTGTTCAACAAAATATTAGTTTATGGTCCCATCATGCTCGTTTGCTTGTGTGTATGTGTTTTTTATATATATATATTTCTGTGTAAGCACAATTCAAAAGCAATGTCATGATTTTCATTATTTTTTTTATTTATTATTACTTTTTTCAATTTCAACTTATTTCAGTGACAGCTGCTTTTTTTCCTTCTTTAATGGGAGGCTATGAATACATTTGAGGACGACTGTATATTTATTGCTATTTCCTCTGTTTGATTTGTATGAAAACCTAAATGACAGTTAACAGTTCTCCAGACACAGCATTAATGTACAGCACTGTGGAAAGGTTCTATGTGTTTTCTAGATTTCTTAACCATCATGTAATGCCATCAATGAGACGCCTGACTGTCCAAAATTCACTCTGCAGCAGAACTAGAAACAGTTAAAGTCAAAAACGAGTGTCCTGCAGCACTACATATATAATAATATCTTGTAGCATTGTGTGGATGATGTGTTGGAGCTTCTTTATACTGAAACTGAGTTGTGAATTGTTTCAGTGTTTTTTGTGTTTACTGTAAATATTCTCACCGGCTTTGGTTTCTTCTTGACTTGTGGCTTCACCGTACACGCCTCCATCGTGCCTGTCGGAGCGACACACAGAGACA